CCATCCCATCCCTAATCCGGGTCTTTCCTTGGATTCCCGCTCCCGGGGCTCCCCGATGTGGGGCTGGTCCTTCTGGCCCGGTGGGAGAACCCCCTCTTTCTCTCCCTGGGGTCTCTGGGTGTCCCTTTCCCCTGGGGCTCCTTCCCCTCAGGGTCCCCGTCTCCGGGCAGTTTGGGTCCCCCCCTGGGTCAGGGTGTCCCTCCCGGCCATTGCTGTGGGGTGGCTTTAGGCTCCTCTTTTCCAGAGCATCCCTGTCCCCTCACACCCTCCCGTCTGCTCCATCCTCTTCCTCAGCACCCTCTTTTCCAGGACTGGGGAGGGGGAGCGATGCCATTTTGGTTCGTGTCCCTTTGTGCGGGGTGCTGCTGCCCTGGCACACCCCCCTCTCTGCCACCCAAAGCCCTGAGGACACTCATTTGAACACCCACAGCCCTTGTCCCCTGTCACAGCCCTTGTCCCCTGTCACAGCCCCTGGCTTTGTGGCTCAGGGCAGTCCCTGTGGCCCCATTACGGCGTGGGGGCTCCCACGTGTCACAGCCCAGAGGGTCCCACACGCAGGGTGACAATCCTGTCCCTCAGTTGGCTGCGTGAGGACAACTCCCTGTGTCTCTCCTCTCCATCCCAAAATGCAAAAGGATTGTTTCAGCCCCATCTGTCCAACCTTCTCCCCCTCTGACTCCCTTCAGCTTCCAGGACTCAGGCCATGAATGTCCCCTGGGCTCTGCCTCAGTTTCTCTGGGTAGTGGTTGGGACAAGTTTTGGGAGGGAGCTGGGAGAGGGTCCCTTGGAAGTGTCTGTGATGGCTCAGCTCTGTGATCCATCTCCTTTGGAGCTTCCTAAGACCATCTTTATGGTTTTTTTTCTCTGGAAACTTCTCCCTCGCCTGTGATGGCAGGCACTAATCTCATGCTGGAAAGGAGGATTGATTTACCTCTGCTCTCTGGTGGAAGTGGGTAATGGATGCTGTTCTAGGAGAACATTCAGGTGGTCAAAAGAATTCGGAAACCTCATCCTTTCCTAAATTAATATGCTTTTAGGCCTCAAAACCACCTATTTCTCCAGTGGATTAGTGGATGTTTCCTAGAGAGTGAAAGGGATTTAGGCTTAATTTTTGTAGAAAGAAATAACACAGAGAGTGAAAGGGATTTAGGCTTAATTTTTGCAGAAAGAAATAACACACCCCAAAAAAAAAAGAGCATTGCGTTTCTAGCTTGCCTGACGATAGAGTGAAAGCTTCCAAATGTAGTTCAACCCGGTGCTGTCTTTCTGAGTCAAAGGATGTTCCAAGTGTTTGCTGCTCAGAGCCTTGCCCAGGAAGCAGGATAATGAATTTAATCAGGCTTTGATCAGTGGTGCTATTAGGAGCCCTGAAGAAATGGAAATTGGTGGGATTCTTCCGAGTTTCATTGGTGGCCTCTTAGGGACAGTGGTCCTTGGTGGTAATTAGCTGCCTTTTTTTTTTTTCTGTAACTGTCTGGGTACTGGGAATCTGGCGACTTTTTTCAGGCACTGGATAGGAATCAGGATAATGTAACTTTTGGAACACTTGGCTGTGAAATATTTAGGCAAAGGGAGGAAGGCAGGCGGAGAGTTCCGGATGAGCACCAAGCTATTAATGAGATTATATCGGATGCATGTTAGGAAGAAATTGCTGCCAAAAAGGACAGTGTCTGGAGGGGCTGGGAAGGGGGTTAGAACATTTCGGCGGCGACCTCCTCACCCTGGGACAAGCATCCAGGATTTCCCAACAAATTCCAGCTGGTTGCTTTTCCTCCACCCTCTCTGCCACCGATTGGAGCCTGGTGGGGGTGAGGAGGGTCGGTGGTTGGTGTGACCGGGCTGCAAGGGCTTTGTTTCCTCCTCCCAGTCTGTGCTGGGAGATGATGTTGGTGCCCTGGTTATAGCAGAAGGGGAATTGCTTATGTGCCTCCAGCAGTCTGGACAGTTCAGAAATATTTTCTGGAGTGTCTTCGGACTTTGTTAGAAATATTTTGGGTTTGGTTTTTTTTTAAATGTTTGGCTTCTGGATCAGAGTTTTACAAAGGATGAATCCCGTGTGCCTGGAGCTTTGCCTTGGGATCCCTGCAGTGGGAGGGGGAGAAAACAGCCATCAGCACAAACCACGAGGTCGTGCCAGGAAGATTCTGTCAAAAATACTTGCATTAGAGATGAACTTTTTTTCACGGACAAATCAAACAAACAACCATTTTGTGCAATCCACCATTTCTTGTTGACTGAAGAAATTCCCGTGGGTCCGTTAACTGAGTCTGGCAACGAGTTCGGGCCCTGCCTTGTGTTTAAACAAGCTCGTTAGCAGCTGGTGTGAGTACAGGCGGTGGTGGGCCTGGAGAGGATCAGGAGTGATGATGTTAGCACACCAGGAACGGGAACTGGTTTCTGGAAACACCAGTTTTGAGCGTTTCTTGCTTTAAACAGCGAGCCGGGTCTTGGCCGTGCTGGTGGTCCCCAGCCAGCATCTAAAGCCAGTGAACTGGGATCAGGGTGGGGCTGTGGCTGGTGGTGTTAAAGCAGGGCCAAACGTGGGTGGTATTAGTCCGACAGCTAAATTTTGAATTAAAAAACCATGGAGGGGAGGGGAGAACTTGTGCAGATGGGAGAGGGAAGTGGAGTCACTGAGGTTCTCCCTCCGTTCCTGAGTTTTCTCTGAGGCACCGTAAAATTCGGTGAAGGTGGAGACGGTTCCTGGGGAACCATCCTGCTGTTGTCATGGTGTTGGAAGAGGAGATGCAGCTCCTTAGTGTTGGTCATGTCCACGTGGCTCTGTGCATGGACACGCTCTCTGCTCTCCCTGCCCTGCCTGGAGTTCCCCGTGCTCGGGAGCTCGCCGGCAGCAGAGGGGAAAGTTGTGATGGTTCTGGAAAGGAGAAGCCATCTCACACTGAAGAGCAAGTGTTGTGTGATGCTCTGGAAACCATAGAAACGGTTGTAAGGTGCTGATTACACAAGGCACAGGGATCCCAGTGAGTCCGGGGGCTTGTTGGGGAGGCAACTCTTCTTTCTGTTGGTGAAATGAACAACTGTCGGGTTCGGACGGGCCGTGGTGATGCTTCCCTCGGTTTGTCAACTGGAAACGATCCCCGCAGCTCCGGGGATGTTGGGGCAGGGGGTAGGCGTAAACAAATCCCATATTTTTTTTTTTTGGTGGAAATGGGTAGATCTCTTCTGTTGGCTGTAGGGATCTTGCTCCGAGGCAGCCTCCTGTGCTCCAGAGGCTCCGATTACTGGCTGGAGCACCAGCCGATCTCCTCGGACCTTCAGGAGCGGTGCCAGGCAGTACAAAACGCAGCTACTTAGTATTCCAGTGAAATAGCAAAATTGGGATTTGCAGCACGCTTCTGCCTTCTCTGCAGCGTTGTGTTTTTGGTGTTGCCGTGTTAATTCCAGCCAGAGGAGCATCTGCCACATATCAAATGTTGAAGTCCTATAAATTGGTACTGGCACGGGGTAAAAACAGCCTGGATTTGTCCTTTCCAGCCCTTGCTGGCTGCCGTGGCTCTAATTGACCTCTGGAGAGCACAGCATATGGCCATGGCCATGATAGCCCACGTTAATGATGGAGGCCAGTGGCTCTGAACCTTCTTATCCCAGGACCTCCTGTTAAAATAGAGATTTCAGGACCCCGTTTCCCTCCTGGGAGATGGAGAGAAAAGCAGGTTTTCGTGGGTAGTTCAGCGAGGAAAATGGGGCTCAGTTTTCTTCTCTGCTGCTGCCTGGTGTGGCCATGGGTAGGTGGTTTAACCTTTCCCTTCCTCAGCTCCTGTTTGAACCCAGGGAAGCGGTAGCTCTGCCTGCGAGTGGACTGGGATGGACGGATGCTTCCCAGTGGTCCAGAGGGTGACACCGTGGGTGACAGGCTG